CAATCTAATCTATAGATATATAATATAGAAATAGAATATAGATTATAATATTATATATTATAATCTAATATATATTAATTTATCTATCTACATTCTATTTCTATATTAGATTATAATATATAATATTATAATTTATACATAATATAGAAATAGGATATAGATTATTAAATATTATATATTATAATATAATATAATAATCTATATTATCTCCATTCTAATATAATAATCTATCTATAATCTATATATATATATACTCTACTCTCTATATATGTCCTATATACTATATATCCTATATTGATTAATTATCCTATATACTATATAACAACCTTACAACCGCTTATGCAACAATTAAACAACAAACGACCCTTCAAACGACAAAATGACCGATTTCGAACGAAGCCAGGACGCCTACCAATGAACTCCCAGCTGGAGTCCACGGCCCAGGAGGTATCGTTGAACACCTTGGTTCTGATCTTTGGTGGTTGCACAGGCTTCGCTCTGGGGATCTTCTTGACGTCCTTGGTGCCAAGCCGTTTGGCAAGGTTGTCGACGGAGGACGATATCAGCGGCGTCTTGTCCTCGGTCTCCTCGGTCTCCTCCCAGTCGATCGGGTGAAGCTGATTCGAGTTAGCACCGATCGGCGTCTGCAGCCAGCCAGGCTCGCTGTGTCGATACTTGTTCGTCGCCGGATTGTTCCTCGCTCGTCTTCTCGGTATAATCGCCGCACTCTGCGCTATAGCGTCGGCCGGCTCCGCGTAGAAAGGGCTGCCTTGCTTCGACTCCGGCGTCAGGGGGCTGTTGCTCTCCGATTTCGCCAGCATCAGGCCCAGCTTGTTCCTCGGGGGCGTCACGGTGTTCGGACTGTTCAACGAATTCGCGCTGCCTGAACGGATCAATGTTCTGGAGTTAATTTGCTGGCGAACAACGGATTTTGTTTCGTGCGATAGTGGAATAGCTTTTGGAACAGGAATTATAGGTGATGATATGTTGCTTAAGTATTTGACGATTGTTATTCTGGGTTGAGAGATCAAGGAGATATAGCTGAAGTGGTGATTAAATAAGCTGTTTACTATATGTTTCTGTGTTGCGAGTTTGAAGATGTGATTTGATAAGGTATTGCGATTTTAGATAGCTTTTGTTCATTTGCAGGAATCTTTTTATATGGTTTAAAACTATATTCTATTTCTGTATTAAGTATAGATTAGAATATTAGATTAGATTATATAGATTGTCTAATCTATACATAATATAGAAATAGAATATAGATTATAATATTATATATTATGATATAATATATAATAATCTATATTATCTATATTTTAATATAATAATCTATATTATCCCTATTCTAATATCATAATCTATATATTTTAGTCTAATATAATAATCTTTCTATAATCTATATTCTATTTCTATATTATGTATAGATTAGATTGAATTATATATTATCATTATTCTAATATAATAATCTATCTATAATCTATATTCTATTTCTATATTATGTATAAATTACATTAGATTATATAGATTATCTAATCTATACATAATATACAAATAGAATATAGATTATAATATTATATGTTATAATCTAATATATTAATTTATCTATATATATACTCTATTTCTATATTATATATATAGATAAGATTATTATATTAGATTATAATATATAATATATGTATTTTTTTTGTATATAATATAATCTATATAATAGGTTATTATATAGATTATATTACACATATACAGTATATATAATATATAATATAATAATATAATCTATAATATAGACAAGACACAAGGCTCAAATATATATATATTATATATAATAATAATATATATATAATATATAATATATTTTCCTAAAAATCAAAGAACAATCAGGAAGAAAATTCACAGCACTCACAGACTCGAGACAAAAGGTCCGGTCTCCTTCCCATCCCGGTCTCCTCGATCGTGCCGTTCCCGTGTTCGCCTGTCTTCAGCTCCTGCACAGGCTTGAAGCTGCTGAACTCCGGGCTGGTCATCTCCTTGTAGCTCAACTTCTCGTTGGCGATCGACTTGTCGTTCCTCAGGATCATCCTGTCGTTACGTACGATCAGCTCGTTCGCGGTCAATCGGTCGTTGAAGATCCTCTCGGCCGGGTTCGAGGACCTTTCCTGCGCCATCAGCCGGTCGTTCGAGTTCCTCAGACGTTCCTGCGGCGTGTTCGCCGCGGGCCCGTCGTTCCTCAGCAGCTTGTCGTTCGGCGACCATGTGGACTGGTTCGACTGGTCGGTCGTGTTCCATATGTCCTCGTAGTCGGAGATCTTGTCGCCCGGCGAGCTCCTGTAATAGGACTCGAGGATGTCCGACTCCTGATAGTGCTGGGAGTTCTTCCGCGCCTCGCGGTCCCGTCTACGCTTCGACTTGCTGGTGCTCGACGGCGTCGTCGGCGAGAGAACGTTCGGCGTCTTCATGCCGACGTTCGGGACTAGCTTCGACAACGGAGAGAGCACCGGCGTCGTGGGAGACAATGGTGACTTTATGGAGAAGTTCGACGTGAGGGATTTGTTCGACGTGGCGCTCTGCGGGCTCAGCAGCGACGTGTTCGGGTCCGACGGTGTATTCTGCTGTGGGAAATGGAGAACGAATTTTTAGAATTGTGGTTTCGAGGGTTTTTCAGAGGGGGGAATTGGTGGAATGCGGTGAGGGGATCTTGTGGAACGAGCGTTGTAAATTTTATTTGGACTGTTGGGTGAAGCGGCGAAGGAAATTCTCCATAGATGTCCATGAGTTTGTGAACGATAGTGGACAGTTTGGGGGGTGGAGATACGATTATTCGAGTTGGCTGATGAGAACTATGAAAATGTGCCTATAATTATCTATGTAATATATAATGCCTATATAATAATCTATGTAATGTATAATATCTATATAATAATCTATATATTATATAATATTCATATAATAATCTATATAATATATTATATCCATATAATCTATATATTATATAATATTCATATAATAATCTATATAATATATTATATCCATATAATCTATATATTATATAATATTCATATAATAATCTATATAATATATTATATCCATATAATCTATATATTATATAATATTCATATAATAATCTATATAATATATTATATCCATATAATCTATATATTATATAATATTCATATAATAATCTATATAATATATTATATCCATATAATATATAATCTATATAATATATAATATCTATACAATATCTATATAATAATCTATATATTATATAATATCTGTATAATATTCTATGTAATATATAATATCTGTATAATGTCTATATAATAATCTATATATTATATAATATCCATATAATAATCTATATAATATATAATATCCATATAATAATCTATATAATATATAATATCAATATATATAATATCTGTATAATTTATATAATATCTGTATAATGTATAATATCTATATAATATATTTAATCTATAATAATAGTATCTGATCAATAATAATGCTACCTATAATAATCGTATCTCCTCCTCACAAATTGTCCACTTTCGATTACAAGCCGAGGGATAAATTGGAGGATAATTTGTGCTACACTTATCTTGAAAGTAGATTGCATTATAATCTCTCATCAAGTTCGTGTCGATAACACGATGGGATTGTATTTATCAGACAGAGTGTTTTAGTATCGCCCCATTTTTTTGTGGTGTTCAGAATCGCGCCTCTCAATCGATTATCAATCGATCATCAATTCCCGATTAAATCACCTGCGAACTGCAGACGTCGGTCGTTTGGTTCACGTTGAATGTGACCGTGGTGGTGACCGTGAAGTTGTTCTGCGTGTGCGCCATCCCCGGCTTGGCCCACCTAGGCGGCGGCGGTGGCGGCGTCTTCACGTTCTGCGCGATCCCGTGATTCTCGCCGATGATGTTCCTGATCTCCGGCAGCACCGGCGAGTTCGCACAGGACAAATTGTTGAACGTCGAGACGTTGTGATGGAAGTTCGTGGTCGAGCTGTTCGTCGACGCGAATCTGGTCCTCGACAGCTCGACCATCGTCGACCTCGAGGAGGCCTCGCCGACGACGCTCTTCGGCCCGAAGTTCAGCTTCCCGTCCTGCACCGGGCTCAGCACGTTGTTCTCCACGTTGTGGACCACCGGCGACGGGCATCGCACGCTCTGCACGAGATTCGGCGAGATCAGTTTCTGAGAGAGCTTCTCGGTCGGCGATATCTTCTTCACGTCCATCGGCTCGTTGAACGTCGTCAGGTTCAACGTGTTCGGCGGCGTCGGCCGCGGCTGCCGCGGCAACGACGACGCGAACGTCGACGTCGTGACGACCGTCGTCGGCGACGAGCTTCCTGCGGAGAACGACAACGAATTATTTTCGTATTTAATTGTACAAGATGTTCGATAATTGTGGTATTTTCGGGAACCGACGGGTTCCTGAGGCGATTTCAAGCAACTTTTTCCTTTACGGAAATGTTCTCCGAGGCTTCGTTCACGAGTTATTAAGGAAAACGTGCTGACCAATGAGAGGCGAGCGCGCGTAGCGTTAGGCGGGCGCTAGGCGGCCGAGCCAACGAGCGCGCGGAGCCCGGTTCCGCTGATTGGCGCGTCGCGATGCGTCAGCCAAGCCCGCTGCTCATTGGTCTGTGTTTTTTCGTTGATAACTCGTGAACGACGCATCGGAGAACATTTTTGTAAAGGAAAAGGTTGCTTAGAATGACCTCAGGAACCTCGTTGTTGGTAAATTCAAAGTTTAACGACGACTCACGTGTATCGTGCGACGATATCGGCGCCAGATTCAGCACTATGCTCTCGGTCGTTGGTGTGTGGACGTTGTTGTTGTTGTTGTTGCTGTTGTTATTGCTATGGTTATTGTTACCTAAAAATGATTATTATCGTCGTTAGATACTTTTGCGCTTGTCATTTCTTTTTCTTTTCGATCAGCAACCGCGTTTGATCGTCGATTATTGTACAATATACAATATTTATTTATATTATACGGTACATTGTGTAATATTTTCATTAATTTTTAGCAATTGAATTAAATAAATTACTTATATACTGGGAATAAGAGAAAGACCAACAGGTCTTCGTGGAGCATTTTCAAAAATATTTGAAAAATTAATGATTAAATAATCGTCGACTAAATATAATAAAATTTCTAATTTTTCTTTAAAATAACAGTTTAATTTCTTTGTAATAATATTATATACTGACGACGAAAAATTGGAAATAATTTTCTAATTATATTTTGTAACAAAATTTATCATTTATTCGTTTTTTATTCGTGACGGTTAACATTCTTATTGTTTTATTTGTTGTTGCAGCCGTTTCTATTTAAATTGATAAGAACATTATTTAAATTTGTTCACGTTTAAGCAGAAGGCATCAAGAAATTGTTTTAGCACAATTTGCGAGAGAAAATTGTTTTCATTGAACTTACCACCACGGAAACTGCTCAAGCTCGAAGTGTTGCTGCTGCTGCTTTCCGGCGGCTTCGGGTTTGCCATCGGGTATCTCCAGAACTCCTGACCCAGAAGTGCCAGCGAGGAGAGCTGCTGCCTATTCTTGGCCTCCCGCATCGCCCTTGGCAGTGTCAATTGGACCGGTAATTCGTCACTGCTTGCCGAAGGAAAACAAAGAGATCAGAATGAATTAATTTGTCCACGCTTGGGAAATATTCTTAGATTCATGATATTCTTTTATAATAATAATATTGATAATAATATATTACAATATATATAATATAATATATGATTAATAATTCTTATTATTATTCTTATAATATATACATATACAGGTACTATATACACATAGATACTAGGTACTATATATTTTTGACAGGGGTTGTATAGTATCATGCTAGATGTTGATAATAATACATTGAGAATAATATATTGAAAATAATACACTGAGGATGATAGATTGAGAATGATAGATTGAAGATAATAGATTGAAATAGATTCAAAATAATATACTGAAAATAATAGACTGAGGATGATAGATTGAAGATAATAGATTGAAATAGATTGAAAATAATATATTGAAAATAATAGACTGAGGATGATAGATTGAGAATGATAGATTGAAGATAATAGATTGAAATAGATTCAAAATAATATACTGAAAATAATAGACTGAGGATGATAGATTGAAGATAATAGATTGAAATAGATTGAAAATAATATATTGCAAATAATAGACTGTGAATGATAGATTGAGAATGATACATTGAAGATAATAGATTGAAATAGATTGAAAATAATATATTGAAAATAATAGACTGAGGATGATAGATTGAGAACGATAGATTGAAGATAATAGATTGAAATAAATTGAAAAAATTGAAAAAATTAAAAAGTCAAAGTTCAAAAGTTAAAAATTAAAATTAAAAGATTACATTTATCCGCGACCTCCCGGTAGCACTTCTTGAAATGTCCCGCATTTAGCATAAAGTTCCACGACCAACAATTAAGCTATTTACCATTAATCAAGCTATTAACAACTAAGCTATTTACAACACGCTATCGAATACACTGGCACGAAGCGGATCGTGGAAAACGTTCAGGCGATCCTATCGAATTCTACGAAACTTAGTTTGTACTCGAGCGGTGCACAACGTCGATTGATCGTGGAATCGGAGGCGTTTGATCACCGCGAGTTGCGAGTTGCCGAATAGCAAGCAACGACGAGCTTGATTTAGCCGTCGCCGGGGGGATTAGGTTTTCTCGGGTCGCGGCTGAAATTGCACGCCGATCAAAACACGTCGCCGGAGGATTAGGCCATGGGCGATCTCTCGCCGCCGTTGCATAATTTATCAAATCCTCGGCAGCGTGTCGAAGCGATCCGATCCGATCCGATCCGATCCGAGCCGCGAACGAACGAAACCTGCAACGGTGAAAGTAGCCGCGCGCTCGATTCTGTCCCGAGATAATTTAGGCGATCTAATGGAAGCACTGGAAAAGCCAGGTTTCGCGCCGTTAAGCCCCGGTTTTCCGTGATTATCGCGGGCGACGTCGTTTTTCCTTTTAACCGGGCCCCGTTTAACGATCCGCGAGCGGAACGCCCGTTTCGTTGCACCGCGATTCGATCATCTGATATCTGTCGCGGTTCTGTTCCAAGCTGTGTTCCTACTTCGTTATTGTGTATTATTAATATCGAATGCTACGACAATGGGATGCACGCGATCGTTATGCAATTTTACAAATGCATGGGAACACTTGCGTGTATTATGCTACGTGATATGTTTCCGCGGAGGCCGGAATTGTCATCTTTATTGCGACAGGTTTCCTGTTTCTTTTATTTGAGAATTTTTGAGAATCACGTTTTACGTAGGAAATCAAATTGATGGCTTGGTAGAAGTGCGTGTTGCAGCAGAAATGGCGAGTCGTTTAAATAAATACTAATTATAATATAATTAGTATATTACTATATTAGTATATTAGTATATTAGTATATTATTACATTATTATATTAGTATATTAGTATATTATTACACATTATTGTATTATTATATTAGTATATTATTATTTTATTATATTATTATATCAAAAACGGCTAAGAAAAATAAAATGACAGAGGAAAGGTCTAAAATAAACTGGCTGAAAATATTATGTTGAATTACAAAAGTTATGTAGCTTTTTAATGTTAATATAAAAATAAAATTTACTGCTGAACGCACTTGCCGAAGTGGCTCCGCTATTTTTATCGGAGAAAGAATATTATGAAGAAACAAATAATGAAATATATAATAAGAATTAATAATTATATATATATATATTATATTATGTATTATGAATTATATTATATTATATACATATAGTATCTACGGTATCTATAGTATCTAATATGATACTATACCACCCCTGTCAAAATATATAAAATATATAGTATCTGTATGTATATAGCGTCTATAGTATCTATAGTATCTACATATAGCATAACACTATTATACAGTGTGTCTCAAAAATGTCTCGCAATCCGGAAATGGCGGATTCCTCGGATCATTCGAAGCAGCTTCTTCCTTTACAAAAATGTTCTCCGAGGCACCGTTAACGAGTTATCAACGATAAACAGCGACCAATAAGAATCGAGTACGGCTGACGCGAGGCGGCCCAGCCAACCAGCGCGCGAAGCCCGGTTCCGCTCATTGGCTCGGTCGCCTCGCGCCAGCCGAGCTCGCCTCTCATTGGTCGCTGTTTTTCGTTGATAACTCGTTAACGGTGCCTCGGAGAAAATTTTTGTAAAGGAAAAAGTTGCTTCGAATGACCCGAGGGACCCGCCAAAAAGAATTTCACTTTGCAAAATGCAATAACGATTTCGAAACTCCACGAAACGACTCGAATTTCTTTTAAACGTTGAACAGGTATGCCGTTGGCATAACTGTATTCGAAATGTCCAGGTATTTCCGCCGGCCCCGCTATTGTCGAAGTGGACCAAGATGGGGATTACCGAAGCTAACAGAGGGGAGAGAGGGGAGGGACCGTAAGCCAGCGGCCTTGAGCTGCCAACTTATTTCATTTGTACTGTAGTAGATGATGAACGCATGAAGAGGCCACTCACCAGCACTGAGAATAGTGGGCGATCAGCGAGGGGATGTTGTCGAACCTGTTCTCGCTGGTTTCCAAGCTCAGCTTCCCCTTGTTAGCTTGGATCAGGTAGTGCTCGATGTACGGCCCCTTTCCTGGCGGCAGCCTCACGGAAAGGGCCATTGTGTCGCTCTGGCTCGACTGCCGGACGACGAAGTTCTGAAAACACCAGCGGAAAAGCAGAATTAAGTTAAACATTTCAATCGACGGCTGGCCTTTCTTGTTGCCGGACAATACGCTTCGTTAACGCTAGCAGTGCCTCTCTCCCTCCCCTCGCCCCCCGGAAGCACCGAAAGCGACCGTTGCGTGGCACTTTGTAAGAATAACGAGGCTGGATTTATTTATATTTGTCGAAAACAGAAATTCGTTCGATTATTTTCGATTAATTATTTAGTTGCGTCGATGTATTTTTAAGATCAATTTCGAGTGCGTTTTTGTTGGTCATATTGGGTGCTGTTTTCTCTCGGCAAGTTGTTTGGGAGTTATTCGAAAATGTGTGGAATTTATGAGTAGGTTTTATAAGCATTTTTGTTTAAATCGTGGGAGAAGTATTTTTCGTTGGAAGATGCAAAATTGTTGTTCATATGCTACGTGGTAGCAGTGTTCGTAAGATTACATTCATCATTTTAGTCAGAAATTTGTTGTTTTCAATCTGTTATTTTCAATCTATGCATTTCAATCTATTATTTTCAATCTATTATATTCGATATATTATTTTAAATGTATCATTTTCAATCTATTATTCTCAATCTATCATCTTCAATCTATTATTTCTAATCTACTATTTTCAATCTATCATTTTCAATCTATTATTTTAAATCTACACCATTTTCAGTCTGTTATTCTCAATCTATTATTTTAAATCTATCATTTTCAATCTATCATTCTCAATCTATCATCTTCAATCTATTATTTCTAATCTCTGTCTCTTATACACATCTAGATGTGTATAAGAGACAGATATTATTTTCAATATATTATTCTCAATCTATCATCTTCAATCTATTATTTCTAATCTCTGTCTCTTATACACATCTAGATGTGTATAAGAGACAGATATTATTTTCAATATATTATTCTCAATCTATCATCTTCAATCTATTATTTCTAATCTCTGTCTCTTATACACATCTAGATGTGTATAAGAGACAGATATTATTTTCAATATATTATTCTCAATCTATCATCTTCAATCTATTATTTCTAATCTCTGTCTCTTATACACATCTAGATGTGTATAAGAGACAGATATTATTTTCAATATATTATTCTCAATCTATCATCTTCAATCTATTATTTCTAATCTCTGTCTCTTATACACATCTAGATGTGTATAAGAGACAGATATTATTTTCAATATATTATTCTCAATCTATCATCTTCAATCTATTATTTCTAATCTCTGTCTCTTATACACATCTAGATGTGTATAAGAGACAGATATTATTTTCAATATATTATTCTCAATCTATCATCTTCAATCTATTATTTCTAATCTCTGTCTCTTATACACATCTAGATGTGTATAAGAGACAGATATTATTTTCAATATATTATTCTCAATCTATCATCTTCAATCTATTATTTCTAATCTCTGTCTCTTATACACATCTAGATGTGTATAAGAGACAGATATTATTTTCAATATATTATTCTCAATCTATCATCTTCAATCTATTATTTCTAATCTCTGTCTCTTATACACATCTAGATGTGTATAAGAGACAGATATTATTTTCAATATATTATTCTCAATCTATCATCTTCAATCTATTATTTCTAATCTCTGTCTCTTATACACATCTAGATGTGTATAAGAGACAGATATTATTTTCAATATATTATTCTCAATCTATCATCTTCAATCTATTATTTCTAATCTCTGTCTCTTATACACATCTAGATGTGTATAAGAGACAGATATTATTTTCAATATATTATTCTCAATCTATCATCTTCAATCTATTATTTCTAATCTCTGTCTCTTATACACATCTAGATGTGTATAAGAGACAGATATTATTTTCAATATATTATTCTCAATCTATCATCTTCAATCTATTATTTCTAATCTCTGTCTCTTATACACATCTAGATGTGTATAAGAGACAGATATTATTTTCAATATATTATTCTCAATCTATCATCTTCAATCTATTATTTCTAATCTATTATTTTCAATCTAGCATATTCAGTCTATTATTCTCAATCTATTATCTTCAATCTATCATTTTCAATCTATAATTTTCAATCTATTACATTCTATATATTAGTTTCAATATATTATTTTAAATCTATCATTTTTAATCTACTATTCTCAATCTATCATCTTCAATCTATTATTTCCAATCTACTATGTTCAATCTATCATTTTCAATCTTCTATCATTTTCAATCTATCATTTCCAATCTATCATTTCCAATCTACCCCTTTCCATCTACATTTTTAATCCGTCATTTCCAATCTACCACATTCAATCCACTATTTCCAACATCCAGCCACATAAATTCGAGTGCCACGAATTTCAGACAGCGTGCTCTCCCTCCCGTCGTGCCGGAATTTTTCCGTGATTCGTGCTTGAACCTGAACGGATCGCCGTGGCAGCAACGGTAACGGAAGAAGAAGAAGAAACGCGGCGTCATTTCGCTCCATAAATTTTGCGCGGGCATAAATCCTCATTTCCAGCGGTAGAATAAGTCCTTGGGACAGAGGGTCTTGAAAGAAGGAGGAGGAATGATACGTGGCTCCCATGGCGGCCGGCGAGAACCGGGACGCATAAAACACGCTCTACAATTCCGCGCGCGGTTTTCCCTCGGATTCGCGCGTCTGTGTCGATATAAGACGCGCGTTTTCCAGCCGCGATCCGCGAGATCGAGAGCAAAGGGTGGCGGTGGAAATAAAACCGCGGAGGAAAATGAGAACAGAAAACGGCTGCGCCTCTTTGTTATGCGCTGCTTTGCGGCCGCGAATTCATCAGAATCTCTCTCTCTCTCTCTGCTCTCTTTTCTCCTCGGACGACAAAAGCATCCGTTCCGCAGCCGAGTTCACTTTAATCGCTGGAACGGACCATCTCTCTTTGCTGCTTTGTCCGCGTTCGGCACGCTGTGTTTAATGCGGGTGCCCTGGCGCAGCCGCGACGCTTCTTTTCCAGTCCGCGTTTATTCTCGAATGATTTTCCGGATGCATCGGCCGGTTTCGCACGAGATGTCGCATTGTTCGAGCAGCGGCGGTAATTCTTTTCTTTTTCGTTTTTTTTAACTGTGGAGCGTTCAAGGAGGGTGAACTACCCCCTATCTTTTTTGGCGTTTCTTGTCATGTTTTTTTAATGTTTTAGATATTGTTGTGTATATTGTTAGCTCTTTTTCTCTCTCTCTTTCTCTTTTTCTCTTTTTTTCCCTCTTTTTTTTTCTCAGCCTCTCTCTCTCTCTCTTTCTCTTTCTCTTGCTCTCTATCTTTTCCTCTCTTTCTCCCTTTCTCTCATTCTCTTTCTTTCTATTGCTCTATCTTTCTTTCTTTAGCTTTCTTTTTTCTCTCTTCTTTTCTCTCGTTCTCTCTTTTTCCCTCTCCCTCTTTCTTTATTTCTCTTTATCTCCCTTCATCTCTCTTTATTTCTCTTTCTCCCACTTTCTCTCTCTTTATTTCTCTTTCTATTTCTTTCTCCCTCTTCCCTTCTCTCTCTTTCTCACTCTTTATTTCTCTCTTTATCTCTCGTTACCTTTATCTTTATCTTTCTCTTTAACTTTCTTTATCTCTCTTTACCTTTATCTTTATCTCTCTCTCTCTTTATATGTCTTTATGTCTCTCTTTCTCCCTCTTTCTTGCTCTCTTTCTCTTTCTCTTTATTTCTCTTCATCCATCTCTCTTTCTCCCTCCTTTTTGCTCTCTCTCTCTCTCTCTCTCTCTATCTGTCTTTGTTTGTTTCTCTCTCTCTCTCTCTCTCTCTCACTCGCAGTCACTTTCCAACTTCATCAACGCCTGTTCTCGCAATCACCAGTCGCGTTTCAACGGGGCATGGAGGAGGTGGGAGTTGGGCTGGGGGTTGGGAGCGTGGTTGTCTCGCCTACGGAGGAGTAATTGCGGGAGGCATTGTTTTTCGGCCGCGCAATTCGACCGTGGTTCGCCGATGCGACGGGTCCGGAACGATTAACAAAGCTGGAAAACAATGAGCCGCCGGGAAAACAATGCTGCCACAATGCCACGGCTTGTTCCCAGTTCCCCCGCTGATTACGAGACATCCCCGTCGCCTCACTCTCCTATTCCTCCCCCCCCCCTTCCGCAACCGCCACCCAATTTTCCTCATTCAGACGAGGGAAGAAATTACTTGGCACGAAAGTGGCTCTCGCCCGGAACACTTTTCAGTTAACGTCGCTCGGTCTGGGACACTTCTTATTAGTCGTGAGTGGTCAGTCCGTGCATTATTTCTCTGTACACGGTTGGAACCGACGGTATTCGAGGTACTGGAGTACACAATGGAGAGACATGACATATATTATATATTATACGCATTATGTTATTATTATATTATTATATTATTATATTATTATATTACTATATTACTATATTATTATATTATACTATATTACTATATTATTATATGTATATTATGATATTAATATGTTATTATATTATTATACTATTATATTATATCATGATATTACTATATTACTATACTATTATATTATACTATATTATTATATTACCATATTATGATGTTATAATATTACTATATTATTATACTATTATATTATACTATATTATTATATTACACTATATTATTATATTACCATATTATGATGTTATAATATTACTATATTATTATATTATTATACTATTATATTACACTATATTATTATATTACCATATTATGATATTATAATATTACTATATTACTATTTTATTATATTATTATGATATTACTATATTAATATATTATTATATTATTATATTACGATATATATATATTATGATATTATAATATTACTGTATTACTATTTTATGATATTATGATATTACTATATTACTATATTACTATATTACTATATTATTATATTATTATATTGTTATATTATTCGCAGTGTAGTTATTATGCTTGAACATGTTAAAATACGATCAATATATCTTTTTTGCTACAATTATAACGTTATACAAATATCTGTTTT